CATTTGACAAACTCTTCATTAATGGTCAGACTTTGTCTCTCGATGTCTGTGCGAAGATTGCGACGGCTGTGGAGGTTATTATCCTTTACCACCGATGAGACACACGTCAGCGCTTCCAACGTCTCCTGAAATACAACAATATTTTGTATAAGAAAACTTCAAATCAAAGACCCATTCATTCAATACCCGATCCATCGGTTTATTCAGTATTTTATTGATTTTATTGGACAACGGATTTGTGTCCGCAGTTGTGGTCGACATCGTGTCCATCACTGTTGGGATCAAGTCTTCAGCACAACAGTCAATGAGTTGTATGTTTTGATTCCGGCATTCATTCATACATTACGTCCGCTTTCACTCACTTTTGATTCAAAGTTTGCAAAAGTTTTTCACAACTTTTTTGTTCATAAAAATAGTTTTATTGCAATTAAATTAAAATTAACTCAATTTATATTCAAATTACTGTTTGTTTTTTATTGATAATTGGTTTTTATTGATAATATCGTTTACACTGTATTTAAATAATCAGTGAATTGAAAGGCAATATTTAAGTCAATTACTGGTTTCAATACAATAAATAAATTTTAATAACTTTTATTGGTATTTATATTTTCATTGATACAAATTCATTAAACCGAGAAATTAATTAAAACTAATTTAATTGCAAATTAATTGTTCACTTAAGATATAAATTATGGAAATGTGCGCTAATAATATTGAACAGGTTTAGTGATAATCACATTGTCTGGCATTTCGACATTCATTGTCTTAAATTTGAGGTCCAGTTGTTCATAGATATTATACTTTAAAGATAATCTGAAGACTCCCTTCTTGTTGGCCACGGTTTTGGTGAGGAATTGAAACAAATCATCGGCCAATTGATGAATTTCTTTTAGCGCATTATAATAGTTATAAAAAGTCAATGAATCCAAACCAACGAATAAATTCAATGTCTTTAACCTAATAATTGGTGAATAGACTCCAAGTGTCAAATGTCTCAATTTGGGTACTCTTGACAACCATTGCATCACTTTATGCGGACATTCATTGGCGAAGAAGTAGTCATTGAGTCGACTGCAGTCTATGTGACAGTTGACGTCCATTAGAAATATTTTGGTCACATTTGGCAACATTTGTGGCAATTGTGTCCACCGTTTGGCCGAACATTTGATGTGATATAAACTCAATGACCGAAGACTAGTCATGGGTTTCATATAAGACATCATAACATTGGTGTCAAAGCAAAACTGATTTTCAAACGAGAATTCAAGCGTCAAATGCTTTAAATCTTTTAACTTTGAGATGTTTTGAGCCAACTCTTGGGTCGAAATTGCATCCAATTTAATGACAAGTCTTTTAATTCTTTTGAATTGATTGCAAATTATGCTAAACTCTTGAAACGGGATAATAGAATCGCATAGAGAAAGCACTTCCAATTGAGGACATCTTATGGCTATAATATTGAGTACATTTGTGTCAACGTATTCGGCGTTTGTCTTTAGGCATCGGATGCCAGAGGGGATACAATTAGCCATTAGTTCTAGAGTCAGTGGTTCCATGTAATCCACTTCTAAACTTTGAAGTGATGGCAGATCTCGGATGATATTCATAATGAATGGTTTATACGAACAGATCTTAATTTCAGTGATTTTTGCTAAAAGTTGTGTCCATTCGGTGACTGTCCTGTCCTGCGGTCTATCGATAGAAGTCGACGATAAATTTAAGCACTGAAGTTGTGGTAAACGATTGACAATCACTTCAATTGTCTTGTAATCGATGGTAACTTTCGACAAATACAATGTCTTAACACTGAGAAAGATCTGAAGCATTGAATCCAATATGAGATACGGGTTGTGATCCAAAAGACAGTGATTTCTGATCAACGCATTCGTGATATTAAATGGAAAATATTTGTCCGAATTGTGTCCGATGTTGAGGACTGTCTTCGCTGCCAATGCTTTTTGTGTCCACTCGTGGAACTGTTGGGACACTCTTTGAATTGAAAACAAATCAGTGATATCTGTGTGTCTGAAGATCAGGAACAGGACGTCATCGTTGAGGACACGACTCGACTGACCATCGCTTCCACTCATGTCTTGTCTTTGAGTTCTTCAACAGTTGTGTCTACTATTTGATGATTTTTTCGAATAAATGTTTGTTTTATAAAAACTGTTGAAACTATGAAATGACGGTTAGATTTGGTTTTAAATATTTGATTGTTTGTCAGAAATATTTATTATTTTTCAGCGTATTGTTTGGGAAAACATAAAAATGTTGTTATTAATAGACATGTATAACAATTGTTGAATTTATTTATTAAATGCAATTGTATTCACTTGAATGCAATATTTTTATTTAATGAAATGTAAATGAATTTTAAATTATATTTAATTATAAAGTTTAATAAATAAATTTTCGATAAATTATAGTTAATAGATATTAAGTACCTAGTTTAGTTTTGATAATAAATTTTTTTGAAATATATTTTTAAAAATTCATTGAGACATGAAATTAATTAAAACTAATTTAATTACAAATTAATTGTTCACTTGGGATAAAAATATGTGCTAATAATAATACTGAGCTGGTGTAATGATGATCGCATTGTCTGGCATTTCAACTTTCATTGTCTCAAATTTGATGACCAGTTTTTCATAGGTTTTATAACCTAAACATAATCTGAAGGCTGTCTTCTTGTTGGCCAGTGTTTTGGTGAGAAATTGAAACAAATCATCGATCAATTGATGCATTTCTTTTGATGTATAATAATAGCCATAGAAAGCCAATGAATCCAAACCAACGAATAAATTAAATGTCTTAAGCCTAAAGAGTGGCGCATCTCTACCGAGTGTCAAATGTCTCAATTTGGGTACTCTTGACAACCATTGCATCAATTTATGCGGACATTCATTGGCGAAGAAGTAGTCATTGAGTCGACTGCAGTCTATGTGACAACTTATTGAATCGATTGATATTTTGCTTACATTTGGCAACATTTGTGGCAATTGTGTCCACCGTTTGGCCGAACATTCGATACTTTCCAAACTCAATGACCGAAGACTAGTCATGGGTTTCATGTGAGACATCATAACATTGGTGTCAAAACAAAAATAATTTTCATACGAGAACTCGAGTTTCAAATGCTTTAAATCTTTTAACTTTGAGATGTTTTGAGCCAACTCTTGGGTAGAAATTATATCCAATTTAATGGCAAGTCTTTTAATTCCTTTGAATTTATTGCAAATTATGCTAAACTCGTCAAACGGGTCAATAGAATCGCACAGAGAAAGCGCTTCCAATTGAGCACATCTTATGGCCATAATATTGAGTACATTTGTGTCAACGTATTGGGCGCTTGTCTTCAGGGATCGGAGGCAAGAGGGTATGCAATCAGCCATTAGTTGTGGAGTCATTCCCATGCAAGACATATCTAAACTTTGAAGTGATGGCAGATCTCGGATGCAATTTATAATAAATGGCTCATAAGAATAATGGATCTTTATTTGAGTGATTTTTGATAAGAGTTGTGTCCATTCGGTGACTGTCCTGTCCTGCGATTTATCGATAGAAATCGATGACAAATTTAAGCACTGAAGTTGTGGTAAACGATTGACAATCACTTCCATTGTCTTGTAATCGATGGTAACTCTCGCCAAATACAATGTCTTAACGCTGAAAAAGATTTGAAGCATTGAATCCAATATGAGATACGGGTTGTGATGAATCGGGGGGACGTAATTTATGGCGTCAAAGTTCAGTACTATTTGATTTTGTTTATAATTTAATCGTAATTTATACTGAATTTATCAATTGATTCCTTAAATAAAGTGCAGAATTATTTCAATGAATGTCCACTGAATCTAATGATATATCATTTGTGGTCTAAAACAGTGTATATTTTACAGAATTAGTGAAATTAGTTTTGTTGTGTTTAACACGTGTTTGCATTGCATTCACAACTGATTTAATTGTCATTTAATAGTAATAATTGTTTCGATTTTTAAAATGTCAGATAAAACACGACAAACGAGAGCTACTGTTAGCAAAACTCCAGTAAATGTCTCCACAATTGAGACAAAAATCAATGAATTTTGTGCTGATTTGAGTCAAGGAATCGAAGGAATTCAGACGAAGAAGTCTACGACTCCTTCCACGAAGACTGGACTCAAGAAGACGATGGAAGAGCTCAAGAAACACATCCAATCGTACCATCAAATGATGGCTAAAATCCTCGATTAGAACATTGTTCTCAAGAGTAAGTCATCAGAAGCGCCACAAAAGTCGTATTCAGAAGCAGTTCTGACGCCAAGAATCGAGACGACGACAAAACCAATGAAAACAAAAGAAGTGGTAATCGTTTATCCGACTCAAGACACAGACATCACTTCAGAGGAGCTTAAGATTAAACTGAAGACAGGTCTCAATCTCAAGACAATGAAGAATATCGGAATCCATAATGTGAAGAAAATTAAAAACAATGGTTTAATCATTGAATGTAATGATAAACAAGAATGCATTCAATTAGAAAAGAAAATCAATGAAGACATGGGTTCTGAGTGCAAGGCGTCACTCCCGAAGAAGAGGAACCCGCGACTGATTGTCTACGGACTCGACAACACAGAAGATACAGAAGAAACCAAAGAGTCACGAGAAGAAGCGATGAATCAAGTCGTCGACAACATTATTGCACAAAACGCCTCAATCAGAGAATATTTTGATGACAATTCGTCAGACGATTTGATGCCAAAGTTCTTCATTCGCGCAAAGAATCCAAAACAAAGACATCTCGTTCTGGAAGTGACCCCAGAATTGAGGAATAAATTCTTGAATATTGGAAAAGTGAATATTCATTGGAGTCGACATTCGTGGAAAGACTTCATATCAATTACCAGATGTTTCAAGTGTTTAGGATTTGGACACTCAAGAAATGATTTTAATTCTGTGTCGATTCGTTGCTCTTCATGTGCCGGCCCTCACAAACACGACGAGTGCAACAGCAAAGCAGACAACAATTGTGTCAACTGTTTGTTTTATAACTCGAAGAATCCAAATCTCAGACAATACGATGTCAAACACAATGCAATGAATAGTTGCTGCCCATCATTGAAGCGAATAGAATCTCTAATTAAATATAAGATTAATTATGGATAACATCACTGATTCTACCGAAATAATAAAATTTATACAAATAAACCTTCACAACAGACCGAAAGCAATGGACAGTTGGATACAATACATGAGAGAAGAATTTATAGATTTAGCACTCATTCAGGAGCCCTATTGTGGTGATTATACGATATATGGAATACCTAATGAATTTCAATTGATTTCATGCGATAGCAAAACATTTGCCGCTATTATT